TCTGCTCTCCCAAAGGAGCCAGAGGGACACTTTCCCCTGGTCAGACATCCTGGCACTGGTTTTATGCTGAGGCAGTGCCTGGAGAGGCTTGACAGATGCACAGTGTTTTGAGACAGAGCTTGCATTCTTAAGGCTGCCAACTGCTCAGAACAGAGCTGAATGATGTGTTTCTCGGCTGGAGCAAAGCTGGGAAGTCCCCAGCTTCCTCCAAGCCCTTGGAAGTAAAGCATAAGGAAATGCAATGAACATCCTATGAGTTAAATTCCTTAATAATACCTAATTTCTAACCACTGCTCTTTAGTCACACAGTTTAGTGTTTTTAGGAGAAGACACATGGTATAATTTCCTTCCATTTAGAGGACCACTTTACCAGTGGGGACACCAACACAGAGAGCATTTCATGTTTCTCCAACAAGTGCACGAAATTACAGAACCTGGATGAAGATCCCAGATCCCTTAAGACCAAGTCCGTCACTCCAGCCACAAGCAGAGCTACATCTAACATTGAAGAGGCATGTGGAGCTCTCTTCAGTTAGCTACATTGCCAAAAGCACAACTGTTCTCCCATAAAACAGGTAATTCTATGATAACCAAACAATCTAAGACATTCTCATTAAGCTAAATAATATGACTGTTTCCTGAATCCACCCACTTGTACGCATTTCTGAAGGAAAAGCCATCCCAGGTATCTGGGGATATAAACAGATGTTTTTTGCTAAATCAGAGAATTCCATCTCCCAGTAGTGTGTGTGCCTCTCCTGCCCTCTGAACTGTACATTAATTGCTTGATGCAGGACAGGTGCATCCATATTTTTAATGAAATATAATGATTTGTGGTCAGATTTCAGACTTTATGTTCCAAGACCAAATTAATATAGTTTTGAAGGCATCACAGGAGTTATAAAGTTGATAAACTGGTATTAGCATTACAGTTGAAAAGACTTTTCTGATGGATTGTTAGCCTTAAGGCACATACAACAAAGATGTTTATACGTAACCTACATATACAATACAAAGGTCTAGAAAAATATTTTCCTCTCAGACTTAGCCAGAGTGTCACATTGCAATTTTCAGTTAAACTTAAACTACATTTAAAATTAAAGCAGTGATCTCCAATGACACATCACCAAGATAGCACAGCCTGAGGCAGGAGTAGCTCCAATAAATTTGGCCTTTTGGGGGACTTCCACCAGAGGAAATTTCCAGAGTATGTGCTGTGTTTGATTGCACTGTGGCTGCACACCTCTGGCTTCAGCAAGCAACAGTCTAGCTGCAGTTTTAGAAGAGATGGGCAAAATGGCTATGTCTGAGCTTTGCAAGTCAAATCCTACCTGGAAAAAAGAAGCTGCCTTATGTTTATGTATATATCAGAATTTGGGAATGCACACCTATGAAGTTTAATTCTTTTAAATTTGTTTATTCTTTAAAAATTTAGTTATTAAAAAATTTGTTTTTATCAATACTGTTTCATTTTAGAAGAAAGGCAGATGTAGAACATTAGGTTCCAAAAACCAAATTTTATTTCAGGAGGGATGCATGGCTGTCTGGTGTTTGGAAGAGACACACGAGCCAAGGGAGCACTCTCCTGCCATGCCAGCCCTCCCACAGGCTCCCTGTAATGCCTTTACAGCACATTTGACTTGCTCTGACAACTGACCTGCATTAGAGAAGTGCTTAGAGATCTTCAAATGAAGAAATGTTCATAACTAAAAAGCAGTTACTGTAATGAAGGCCCTTAAAAAGAGGCTCTGCATGCCACAGCTGATCTCTAGTGTAGATATAATTGCTCTGAATGTTGTGGAGTGTATTTTCATTCCTCTTCTGCATACATTATATATAATTTTCTGAGTAAAACAAACATCTGTGCACAGTTGTGGAGATGAGATTTTAGGCTAGTTATGGTGGATGACCTTCAGCTTTTGTTTTTGCTCAGGATTCTTACAAAACATAAACAAAGTTACAATGCAGCCTCCCACTTTGACCTTTTGAATTTTACTTTTAAAAACAGAGGTTATCTTTTATGCTTCAAATTATGCCTTTATCTCTTATAATCCCATAAGTCAGATATCACAGTCCCACTTCAATTATGCTAAACTCTTATGTTAATTTTAAATCATGTAACTTAATTCCTGGCAAAGCAGGCTGGTGATTTTCAAAATGTGGTTAATGAAGCAAAGTACAATCTAGATTCTGCTACTGAGATCATCTGAATCCCTTAGGTCGCTGAACATGACTGTGGAGAGGCTCTTCTTTACAAAAGTCTCGGTTAGATTTTCAAAAAATGAATTTTTAAGTGCAGTTAGGGGCTATGAAATTTGAAGTTGAGCGTACAAAGAAGTTAAATTACTTTCACTAGAGCCATAGAACAACAGTGCAGCTAAAACAATTACCCTTCTGTGCACATACATGCTTTAAAGACCTTAACTGGTGTCCTCCCCTGTTAAATCACAAATGCAAATCATACCAGATTTTCAAGACAACAGTCTGGGGACCTGATGTCCATGTCCATAGATGTATGCAAATCAATGTAATTTTCCCTAGCATTTGCAGAAATCAAATATTTGCTGATAATTTCTTTCAACCCCCTCCTTGACTCAAACAATAGCTCTATCTAAGACCCACTAGAAGACAAAATCTTATGAGAATGTGCAGATTTCAATGCAATTAAAGCTGTCCCCCCAAATCTCTGTCATTCTCTGATCAGACTGGCAGAAAGTTTGCCACTAAAATGAACTCAGTGTGAAGCTTAAGTTCTTCAGAGACTTTGTCATTTACTAATATTAATTTATTTCTCTGAATTAAAGTATTCATACCAAACTCATCTATAAATTACCCTCCATTATTTATTAGCATGTTGCACTTTTTGTGCTTTTTTGAAAATAATAGCACCACTAGTGTGCCATTTTTTGTCTGTAAAGTATCAGTTAATTAAACACATCCACAACAGACAACACAAAGCAAATATATAGACACACAAAGGTTGGTGGACATTTATTTTTTATTTAAATTTATTATATTCAATGGTCTTCCTGTAAAGCAAGAGAGATTTACTCAGGATTTGAGGTTGAATCCAATACTTACAGAAGCAGAGACTCCAGTGGTCAAACCAAGATCAAATCCAAGGCAGTTTTCATATGACTTAGAAGGTTGCACGGTACAAAATCAAAACTTTCAGGAGGTCTTCTTTAATTGTCTTGGGTTGCAAGATGTGGGGTGGAGTCCACAGGAAAACCAGGAGGGATTTCTGACAGGGAAGGTGGGAGTTGAACACCACTCTCTGTTAAAAGGGGGAGATTTTTGTTCACCTGAGAAGCATGCGTGGGGGAGGTTCAAATGCCAGATATCCCCTCCCAAACACTTCTGGGTGTAAACACCTGTGGGTCCACCCATGCACAGCAACAGCTCACACAAGCAGCAATGTGTGTGTTTACCTGTCCAAGGCATTCTTCCAGCTTCTCACTGGTGCTCAGCAAATGCATCTCCCCACACCTCATGCTGATGGATGCCTTTTTACTTCTCCTCTTTGCTCCATGGTCCCAGGGAACAGGAGGCTTTAAACTGTGGGTGGTGCTAGCCACAGACAGCACAACCCCTGTCTTGGGCTGCCCAGTGTGCTTTTGCCTTTTCCCCTTGGAGTGGCTTGTCCTGCCACAAGGAGAGACACGCAGAGCCTGTTGGATTAGACTCTGGCACCATGGAGACTGGAGGTGGCTTTTTTTCCTCTTCTGAGGACGAAACTGAGGGAGAATCAAGCAGTGAGGGTACCTAGGAAATGGTCTGGCCTTTCAGATGGGACCCACAATTACTCCTGTGGAAGGACTGAATCTGTACATCATACTTTGCCTGAGATGAAGGAGAAAACAACAATAACAGCAGTAGTTGTGACCAATGGTTGGGAACAGAGGAAAAGGACATTTTACTTGCATCACTTTCCCGTCAGGCTATTTCCTCACCCTACAACTTGCTGTATCAAGGCACTGGAGCAAGATGCACCAAACCATTTCAGAAAGAAAGGCATAGGGGACATCTTTATTGCGGAAGGACATAGAGATTTTTCCCTATCCATTTTAGAGATTTGGTCTAGTGATGCACTTGGTAGTGTTAGGTTAATTGTTGGACTCAATGACCTTAGAGACCTTTTACAATGGTTCCATGATCCTATGATTTTGCAGAGATTTCTCCTCCTCCTGGGACACCCTGGCCCACCTACTGGGCAAGGGAGGTTGCAGGAAGAACTGCATGTTTTGGTCAGGCAGCACTTGTGGGAGGAGAGGGAAGGGAAGGGTAGAAGGTATCTTTGCTTTTTCTGGACACATCTTCCTCCAGGACAAATCACCACTACACATTACACCACATAAAACTGCACCATGCACCCCATTCCTTGGGCTTGGTGACCACTGGCAAGGCAGGTAGGATAGTAAAACACGAATTGAGGAAGCTCTGGGGGCAGAACTAGCTTATAGGTTTGGGAGGCAATGGGCACACACACCTTCTCTGTAACAGAGTGCTGGGAGCTGGGCTGATAAGCAGACCTAGAATGGTCACAGCAGTTGCATTGAAGTTGCTTCTCAGTACAGACCTTAGAATATCCCAGAGCTGCCAGGCTGAAACTTAGTTCATTTCACCAAAAATGAAGACTACCATGAATGCACATTGGGACCACAGTATGCAGGTATCACATGTAATGATGCATCCACTGTGCATTAAAATCTTAATTTTGTTGAATGCAGCAGCTCTCTGAAAGGAGGGTCACACTTGTCAACTCCAGTGCATCAATCAAAATGAGGCAGTGGGCTGGTCCTTCACAGGCTTACCCAAATCTACTCTGCTCATCAACTGAGCTGCTGTGTTATTTTTAGTTTGATGCATTTATATTCATGAGTGTCCTTCAATAAAAAAAGTCAGGTCTAAAATTGGCTACAGTCTAATAGTAATCAAAAAAACAAGCCTTGCAACTGAGAACATGGTAAACATTTAAAAAATTAGCCAATGATTCTTTATTAATAAGTGACAGAAAGTAAAAATACATTCAAAAGTTTTTTCAAAACCCATTTCTAAAGCAAACCAAAAAAAGAATCATGCCACTCTGAATTTTTTTTCTTAAACCATTAAAAGAACATTAGGTAAGCTAATGCAACAGCTGTCTGAGCTACTTCTTCCATAGAATAATCCATAATGGTAAAAAGAGCTTTTTCAGGCATTTTAGTGCAATTTATGCTGTTTACTGGTCTTTTTTTCTTTGCATTCTCCATAATTTAGTATAAATTGATATCACTCTAGCTTATAAAATCCCCACTAATTCAAGACAACTCTATTTAGCAGTAACTTCGTTTCCTTTCAGGGCTAATATCAAAGTAGTTGTTTTGAATCCCAACATGATAAGTATCTAGTAGAAGCCTGAAGCTATTCTAGTGCTATACAAGTGGTGATGTATAATTGAACATTAAGTAATCCAAGTAATAGAAGTCATAGGTCAGCTGTCTCTCCTCCTCAGACAATTCCTTTAAATATTGCCTCACTACTTCTGTACTTGTTCTCTCATCAGAGGAATGTCTGTCTTTGAATTTAGGGAACTTCAGATTGGCTGGAGCACCTACCAGATGCAGAAAGTAGTTGGCATCTTCTTCCAGGGTTTCAAACTTTCCTATAAAATCATAGTTGATGAGGCAGGGATAGCAGAGCTTACTGACTTGCTCCCAATGAATGTCCATTCCTACTGGTCGGTGGGAATCCAGCAAATATTGGATGAACTCCTTGAACTTAACTCCTGATCCTGTTTTCAGTGCTTCTTCATCTGCATTATGTCTATACTTTTTAATTATTGCCTTCCCAAATACTGGATGGTAATAGCTGTTTGGATGTTCAAATTTATCCCTGAAGGCAGATACCAGTCTTTCCATAGGATCACGTACAAATATAAACTTGGTGTACATGTTCAATCGTGTGTAGATCCCTTTTAAGTCATAACTGTCCAATTTCCTTAGATGCTTTCCATAGTGCACATCATCATGGGAGATGTTGTTTGCTGAAGCAGCGAGTCCACTGAGCACCATGAGGACCCTTTTCCAGTTGGAGCAGCCAGCTTTTGGCACTTCACAGTACAGAACCTTGTGCCTGTCCTCTACGTAAATTCTTGACACCAGGTGCACCAGGTGGGTTTGCAGCTTCTTTCTGCTGTTGTGTTTCCTACAGAAGTCCTGCAGGAAGGCCCTGCGCTTTTCCTGGGTGCTGTCTATGTCCTGCCACTCACTACCCTTGACAAATGTCTTGTTTAATGGGTGCAGAGCAGGAGGTAAATACACCCCTCTGAACCAGCTGAGAGGGGACGCACTCGTCTTCTGCTGCTCAGGCAGCCGGCTCCCCAAGGAGGCAGCCACCACACCGAAAGGGTCAGCCCTGCCCCGCCAGTGCCTGCTGCTTGAGACAGCCATCTCATGGTTACTGAGGCCCACAGGAGCACTTCTCCTCCACGCTGCTTTCCTTGGCATCCCCAGAGGCTGGAGCGTGAAATCCTGCAAACGTGGAAAGGACCAGAGCTTAGAGCACAGTGAGAGTCCAGCCCAGCCCACTCATGTTGCAGCAGCAGCAAGGATGGTGGAGTGTGCTCTTAACCAAGCCACACCTGGTACTAAAAAGTCCCCTTTGAACTGCTTGATCAATACACCTAATTTAGGAACAAGCTGGGCTAATTACTGAAATACATACTTCTGAAGATTACCTGTTAGCACACAGTAGGTCTTTCTACAAAAATAAATAGCTCAAGTCACACCTCTTATGAAATCAAAAATGGTTCACACAGGGGGGCTGATAGTCCTGGCAGGGGTGGCCAGGCACTTTTATCTACTGAGCACATTTTCCCCTGTGACAGCACTGGCTCTGGTGGAGTTGCACGGTTATTCTCTGGAGTGCACTGGCACAATCACAGTAACAGGCGTTGGATCTAGTCCCACCACCGAAACTAGGAGCAGCCCTTGTTCCCCCGGTGGTGGTAGGAGACAAAACCAGGGCCCCTAAAAAGTTGATATCAGTTGATATCAATGATATCAGGAAATCATCCCTCCAAAATGGTCTTACTCCTACCTGCACACAGATAGATGATGGAAGTGCATGCACTGGACTGAATGTACATGAGGTGTCTGTGACACAGGTGCCTGCACCTGAGCTGCTTTCACAGCTGATAAGGAAAAATAGATGCCTTTGGAGTCTATTCCATCTAACTTATTTAAACATCAACATTAATGACACCAACTAACTAAACATTAACTGGTGACCCTGCAAAGAATGTGAAAAGATGAGACTTTCCTCCTAAACGTCTCTCTGTATGTCCCCAGCCATTGTGCAATCCACAAACTGCAGGAACAGCAAAGCTTGCATCTGTTTTGATGTCAGATTCTTCCGGGTATTTTATCATGCAAGTTGACTGAGGAGTTTCTTGCAATATGGGTATATCTGCTCACTCATTCCTCAGTGGATTCTCATGTGTCTGCTAAGCCTTGTAGATTTTTTTCTGCTGTTAGTAGGCAAGCCTGCTGCATTGGGACACCTCTAAAGATACTTATTTTCATTTCACATCTGGAGAGGAGGATGCTGATAGACAGGTTTTTAAACAACTTGTTGCAAGTAACAGAGAAATGGTTAGCTGGACAGACAAACACAGACTACCTGACTGCTTCCATGAGCCTAACTTTTTTTGGAAAGTTACATAAAAAGGCTTTTCTGGCATAAACTGATTAAACATTTACGGGAAAGTTGATTTGTGGACTGGCAGATCATACATGTGGATTTGGGGGGATGATAAAGTTCACAGGCCAATTAAAATAAAGCTGTTAAAAATTCAGAGGAAAAATGTAAAAAATGGTAATGAAGGGAACACAATTTGCATTCCAGCTTGAAAAAAGCCTATGAAAAAACAAGCAGTTCTAAGGAAAGTTAGCATATGTTGCAGTGTAATAATTTCCCATAACAAAAAGAAGCCCAGGGGATCAGGCTTTTCTGTACTGCTGCAAGCCACTGACTAGCAGGTCTTTATGCCACTGAACTAATTTTTGTATTGGTGAAAACAAAAGAAGAGAGTTGTGCAGGACTTGTATGTCTGTGAGAGAGAAGGCATGTTGGTGTTTTTAGAGATGCAAAAGGATACTTGAATTAATTGGATTTGATGTGGTCCACTTTTCTAATATATTTTTAAAAAATGTATTCTGTCTAATATTTTATTATTTGTTATTTGTTCTTTAGGACAAATGAAATGTATGTGTCTAGAGATTCACCCCTTCTGCCCTAGGATGAAAATAATTCAGGAGCTAAGTCAGTGTGTAACAACAGAAAGCAGTGCTAGTAGTAAATCAGGGTATGACTATGAGCCCAATGGGAGTTTCAGCATCACAGTGAATGGCAAAGTGCCATTCTTGCAACTGCAGAACCACAGGCTTACAAATAATTTAAATGTTTTTACCTTAAAAGGGAAACCTGGAACTTAAAAAGGTGAGATGAAAAATACAGGATACTCAGAAACCAACTACGCAATACAAGGCTCAATAGAAGTAGGAATAAAATTGTGACACTGCTAAAGTAACTAAACGTTGTAAGTTCATCAGTGCAACTCTGGTGATTTTTAAAATTTAGAAGACAGTCTCCAATGATACATGGCTGTGCTGGTGTTCCCCACTGCAGAGAAAACTCAGGAGAGGGTAATACCTTCCTATGGTATGTCACCTGAATTTAGCAGCTCATTTCTGTGCAAAGAAACTTAAACCATCTGAATTTCAAACCAAAGCCAATAAAATGAGCCCTATACTTCAGAGGAAACTTCAGCCTTCTCAAGCCATCCTGTCATCCTGAACTAGTGGAAGATGCCCTAGTTCCACTAGAACAGGAGGGAAAAGGACAGACTGAAAGGTGTGTGTGGTCTTGATTTTGTTCCATTTCAAAGAGTCTGCCTGGGATCCAGGGCAAGCCTTGAGGGTGACCCAAGATCGTACCAGAGGAGGATTGTATTTTAGTTGCAGAAACCATGAATGCAGCTGTAGGAATCCCTGCTAAAAGATTTTTGTGGGATTCAAAACTTCAGAGAAGGACAGACAGAGCTATTCAGAGAAATCTCAGTACCAATATAAAGGAACAACTTATGCATAGTTGGAGGCAATTGGAAGGGGCTCCTTCCTAGTGAGATGAGGCAAAAGGAGAAAGAGTCACTTAGCACAAAAGGCCCAAACAGAAAGCAAAATAAAAAAATAATCCCCAAAAGAAAACCAAAACCGAACCAAACCAAACCAAAAGCCCCACAGGCCTACCCCTCCCTCCCTAAGCCAAATAAAAAACCCCAAACAAAACCCCAAAACTCTATGGCCAAAGAAATGATACAGGAAGATCTGAGGACCAAGAAGTTATCTGAATCTGTAAAATATTATTAGTTGCTTTCCTCTTCTCCTTCTCTCTGATACTTTACTTATCCCACTTATATTGGCTAATATATGTTTTTATGGTCTCCATGAGGGAGAATGTCCTTGCAGTAAATGCTGGCTGTAACTTGCTCTAAGAATAGGAATGGATAGTGATATTTTCCAAAGGCATAAATGGCTGGTAAATGACCATGGAAGTTTTCTAGCTCCAAAAAAAAAAATTAAAAAAAAAAAAAAGAAAAAAAAAGAAAGAGATCAAACCTTTCTTGCCTGAGTATGCCTGAGTAACTAGGTTAGTACCTAATGAAGGCGAGATGAATGAGAAAATGAATCAAGCTTTATTTTTAATGAGAAATATTTAACTAGACAGTTTTCTTAGGAAACTAAGAGAAATTGTTTCATAGATAGTGCCATGCTCCTTAAGCAAAGCTGCCTGACAGTCTGACACTTATCTGCATGAAAGAGCTAAAAGCCACACACTCTGAAAGGATCTAAATATTTTATGACACCAGTCTTACATAAAGAGAGCTGCCTTCTTTGGCTTGCTCTTGGTGTCAGTGATGCTTTGTTGTGCATTTTATGGAACTTTAAAGATCTGAACATCTCTATGTTATATCTTTTTTTTTTTTTTTTTCCCACAGCAATAACAAAGGTAAACAAAAACTTGCAAAACCAAACCAAACACTTTTAAAAAACATCCATGTCCATATATCTACATTCCTAACAGTCCATCCCACAAGCTGTTGAGCACTGTTGTTCTGAAAAACACCTGAACATACACAAACAGGCAGCATGCAGGCAGTGTCAGACACTGACTCTGGATCCAGATCTTCCCATGCAGACAGCCCTTACCAAACTCTTTGAGCCAAGTGTCCAAGGACAGGAACATCCATTTATGTCTCTTCAAAGAGCTGCTAAGTTTGGGAACCAGCTGCTTGACATGGGAGATGAACTCTGTGCTTACCTTGGAAAGATGCAAGGCTGTCCTTAAGACATGCTGACAACCTGTGCAGTAGGCTGCATACATTTAGTCTGAGAATTAAAACCCAGGGAGGTGTTGTACCTTTGCCAGTAATTGTGCAAACTGTCCTCTGTTTGCATGAACACATTTGAAAGAAAGTTAAGAAGTGGCCACAAGCCCAATTTAGAAGAGTGGAAGGCACATTACCTCTGTCTCACTTTAGCTAGGCTGGAACTGAAGACATTTAAAAATGAGTTTAAATTTGAGGAAAAAATGGAATTTAATAGAGTATTTCTGTGATGTGTGGCTACTGGCAGGCAACTCGGTGAAGCTGTTGAACAAAAAACATTTTAGAGTCATTAATGGGTTCATGGATTTTTTTCTTTTTTACATTTTTATTGTTGTAGATTCCCTGCGCCTCCCCATTCAAAAAAGGATTTCTCCTCACTGTAAAAATAAGTAGCCAATACTTTTTTATACACACTGAAGCTGTGTTTTCCTTTAATACCTTCACAAGCCACCGAGGTAGAAGAGATTGACTACTGCCAAGAATGGTTAAGACTCATCCCATTATGCTTTGTGGTGATTTTACAATGCTCGGGTGGGATCTCATCTAGGCAGTTTGCAATTAGAGCAACTCACCATGCAAAAAGATAATGATGTATTGGAAAGGTTGATATTCCAGGGCTGATTTACAAAGATTTAATGGCCTGCAGTGCCAACAGTGCTGTGTTTTCTAAATGCCTTAGTGCTGGATACTCAGTTTTACTAACAAGAATAATAAAATTAAATAAGCCAAACAGAAAAAAATATCATGGAGAATAGCAAAGGAAAGAAATATTCTGTTTTCTTGTGCTTTTCTCTGCTGCCAATTTACCTAGGATCTCTCTGCAGAAAATTGACAAAGAGAAATTTAAGACAAGGTTCATTTTCCAGTTCACACTCAGACTCTAAAATGATCAAGGAGCACATAGAGATGAGTCTCTTAATTTAGGTTTTTAGTGGAAGGCAGCTTGAATACTGGAGGACTATAAAACAAACATCCTCTTACTTGGATGGTAGGTATCTGTGAGTCTTTGAAAACTTTGGGACCAGTAGTTTCAGCCTAAACCCTCAAGTTTTTCACATAATGGTTGGAGGGGGCTCTGAACAA